ATACTGTCCTTGCGCTCCTGAGAGAGGTAAACCATGCAAAGATTTGAATCTATGAGTGCTCCTAGGTGGAGGAGATGAGTTGAGGGGGTCATGTGACTCTTCTTGAAATTCACAGAGAATCCATGATCTTGAAGAGTATTGATTGTGAGTTGAAGATCTGAGTGGGCGGAACGGAAGGAGCTGGATTGGATAATTATATCGTCCAGATAGCACTGCACGCGCACCGGAATCAATCTGAGATGGGCTGCCAAAACTGCCAAAATTTTTGTGAACACCCAAGGTGCCGAGGATAGCCCGAAGGGTAGAGCCCGGTACTGATAATGCCGGTGCGCGTAACAAAACCGGAGGAATCTGCGGTGTTATGGGAGGATGGGGACGTGGAGGTACGCCTCTGTCAGGTCTATAGAGGAGAGGAAATCCCCTTTTCTGATACCGGCTAGAATAGATTTGAGGGAAATTTTGAATTTCCTGTAGGTTAGGAAGTAATTGAGTCCCTTTAGATCCAATATGGCCCTCCAGCCCCCCGAGGCCTTGGGAACTACGAACAGAATGGAATAGAACCCTTTTCCCTTCTGTTCCGGGGGCACTGGTTCTATGGCCTCGATCTCTAACAGATGGGATATGGCAGTGGATACCAGCTCGGCCCTGCTTATGTTCCTTGATGTGGGGCGCTGAATAAAATGGTCTGGAGGGATGGAAATGAATTCGAGGGCGAGACCGTACTTGACGGTCTCCCTTACCCAAGTGTCGTTTGTGGTGGTGTCCTAAGCGGTGCTGAACAGTGCTAAGTGACCGCCTATAGGAGGGTCCCCATTGGTGTCACTTGGACTGCCTGTAAGGATGGCCCCCTGACCCACGAAAGGAACGCTTTGATTGGAATTGACCTCTGGATGCCTGACTTTGACGTTCCTGCTGTCTGTCCTGCTTGGGAAAAAAGGGTTGAGAACTTCTGGGCCAATCCCAGGACTGACCAGACCGAAAGGGCTGCCTCCACTCCCATGAACCTCCGGAATGAAAAGCTTGCCTGCGGAATTCCTGCTGAGGCCTTTTGTCCGGCCTCTTAGAGGGGTGAGCAAGACTTTTGCACGTATCCTTCCCTTCTATAAGATATGGATCCAGAATAGGACCAAATAGCTTAGAACCACTATACTTGTCAGTTGACAAGCGCCATTTGGATTTCAAATCCGCCCTCCACTGCTTCAACCACAGTAACCTGCGGGACGAAACAGTGGCCACAATAGACCTGGCGGAGTACCTAGCAGAATGGAGGGATGCCTCAGCCTCATATTCTGAGGTGGCAAGCAGCTTACCTACTGTCTGGTGTGCGCGCACCTGGTCAGGGGGAATCAGGGCCTGCAATTCGCGAAGCCACATAATGGACGCCCTCACAAAAAAGGATGAAGATGTAGCCACCCTTATCGCCCAAACTGATGCCTGGTGAGCTCTGCGGAGAGAAAACTCAAACCTCTTTTTCTCCGCCTTCAGGGCTTCAGCCATATCCCCTGGAATCGTGGATGTAGAAAACAACGATGTGAGAGGGGCATCAACAGTAGGCACCTCTAAAAGGGAAGCAAAGGAGGAGGAAACATTAAAGAGTTTCTTTTCCGTGCTACTTGGAGAAGGCAGAGTAGCCAGTGATGACCACTGTTTCTCCACAGTGGTGTGGAAGACATTTGGACAAGGAATTTGTCTCTCTTCCACTACCTGTTTTGCAAATAAGGGATTAGACTCTTGTGCAGTGGAGGTAGGAGGTTTAGGCTCCTGTTCATCCGCCAATTTGGCCGTAGCACAAGCTTTCATGAGCAAAGACTTGAACAGGGAAGGATCGAACAGGCCCAAAGTCGGGACCGGATCCGGGCAGCCTCCTCATCCTCTGACAGGGGAATGTCTGCCATCTCCTGGTCCACGGATTCCTCCTCCCCTAACTGAGAGGAAGTCTCAGATTCACCAGTTCCAGCCAACAGGACACGCCCTGTTTGTGGCAAGGCAGTGGGAGGAGAAGGTGCTACCTGTGGGAATCTATGGCCCAGTGATGAGGCCATGAACTGGTCAAAGGCATGTTGCATAAACGTCTGGAACTGCTCTGATCATGCCTCCTGTTGGCCTGAGAAACCAATGCCACTGGCAGTGGAAGTGTACTCAGTTTCAGAAGCCTGTTGTGTAATAGAAAAAAAGGATGGAGGAGGAAGGGGGAGGGGGAGCAAAAGAGGGACCAGCCTGTTCAGTTTCCCCCTGAGGAGACGAAGCCCTGGGGGCTTCTTGAGAAGGCGCAAATTGAGACCCAAAGGGGGATGGATCCAGTGAAGCGGGGGAAACCACTTCAACCTCGCTGGACCTGAGTCTTTGAACTCTGGAGAATTCTTTTTCCAGCGCCTGATGTCTCCTCGAGGCCTCTCGCTCAGCAGCTTTGGAGGGTTCTATGTTTTTTTGTTTTGGCCTTTTTCTTACCCCCCGCTGCCAAATCAGAAGATCTGCACTTTTTTGTGCGGGGGGAACTTCAGAGCCCTGTGATGACTGAGGAGTAGCACTGTCTGCCATCGTGCACTGGATATTCCGGAAGGAGATATCCAGGAAAGGGGGAAATAACACGCAGACCTGGTTATCAGAGAGGGAAGCTCCCGCGCCCTGATGAACCACGATGACAAACAGCCAGACAGTACTCTAAAACTGCCTGTCCAGACCCTGCAGGCACAGCACCGCGAGCTAATATGAACAGGTGGACTTTGAAATTCCCTCTCTCAGACAAAGAGAACAATAAGAATTGTGATGTATATCGTGATTAAATGCAAGGTAAGATAATTTGCACACACACCCTGCTAACCACTGCAATTCCCAGGGGGACTAAGGCTAAGACCTTCTTTAGTAAGCTGTAGCAAGAAACCAAGGGATGTTTTATAGGATCACCCTGGAGCTTGTCCCAATAGAGCCAAATAATTCCCTCTCTCTAGCCAGATATCCAGTCAGGGAGAATTAAGTAAGAAACGAGGTCTGAAAATGGCGGCCATGCCCTATCAGTTGGAAAACAAAATGGCGGCCGTGAGACTCTCCGTCTTCCAAGATGGCATCCACCAAAAGATTTTTTCCCCCAATTAAGGCAATCCCTCCGGACTGCTCAGGTTTGTGAAGGGATTTGGCTGAAAAAAGCCCTTTCTCCCCTTCTGCAACAATCAGGCAACTTGCGGTTCAGGCGCGCAGCCTCTGCTGCGATCCGGATCGTCTTCACCGGCAGCTACCTCGTGGCCACGAGGTTGGTGAAATGAGGCCCACCAGCAGAATCGCGCTCCCGGGAACCTCCGACAAGCTCGAGCCTCTGTTCCAGCGCTAAACAGCTGATCGGAGGCTAATCCTTTTAGTGATCCGGCGCGGCTGAAAAATACAGCCCACAAAGTGTCTGCAGACCTACAGGAGCTCAAAGGCACCAATTTTGCTCCGGACCTACTGCAAATTGAACCAATTTAGAAGCCAATTAATCAACTATAAATTTAGAATCAATAAACAATTTAAACTGCTAACAACTAAACCAAATTGAATTAAATCAATAGCCTAGCTGAGGAGCCAAATAAATTGCATCCCACTGAGCTGAGACTAAGTCAAGAACTGGGAAGGAACTGCCCAGGGGAGGCGTGGCTAAAGTTCTGACTTAGTCTCAACTGAGCAGGAAGGCTGAGATTACCCATCAGTGGGTGCTACATTCATCATGGTGGAGAAAGTTGGGCACTGGAAAAAAGAGAGGTTAAAAATAAACATTAAAAACAACTTTTTAAAATGAAGAGTACATAGCATATAGCATATCATTTTGCAGATGGAAAACTTAAAACTTATAATTAAGTTAAAGTTTAACATAAGTGTTGTTGAATGACACTTTTTTTTTTTGCATCTCCAGACACTTTAGCTGCTCCCTAAATGGTTTTAGTGGTTTTTTTTAAAATAACAGCTGTAAGTAGTCATCAACTTATGACAATGTGAAATGCAAAATTTCTGTCGCTAAGCAAGGCAGTTGAGTGAATTATGCCCCATTTTATGACCTTTTTGCCATAGTTAAGCGAATCGCTGTAATTAATTGAATCATGCAGTTAAGTGATTGTGGCTTCCTCCATTGAGCTTGCTTATTGGAAGCCAGCTAGGAAAAGTTATAAAGGGCGATTACATGACACTAGGATAGTGCAAATGTCATAAGTACATACCAGTTATCAAGCACTCAAATTTTGATCATGTGACCATGGGGATGCTGCAATGGTCCAAAGTATGCAAACTGGTCATAAGTCACTTTTAGTACCGTTGTAATTTCGAACACAAAATGAATTTTCCAGTTGTGCTGGATACATACAATTTAACATATCCAGCAAGATGAAAAAACAGCTTCAATAATACACAAATTTGCACTATTGAACAAAGCTCCAATTGTTTGGGACGGTTGTTTTGATTCCATCTGCTTATCTTTTCCATCAGGTCTCATTTAACCTGTTCACCATGTTGTCAAATGTGTTTCAATTATTTCTTAATAGATAAGTGTTACTGCACCTGCAATAGATTGGATTGAGTTCTCTACACTTTTGAATGTTGGTTCTCCTTATAATTTATTCTAGCAATTCAGCCTCCTCATTCCCCACTAGAAGGCTAATAACAAAAATTACATAGAGAATTTGGCTTGATAGACAAACAAACTTTTTGTGACATTGGCTTCAATGTTCCATAAAATAACATTTAACAAAGGAGACCAAAGCACAAAATGTGTCTTATTTAAATGATCATTTTCTAATCAGAATATTAATTTCAGTACTCAGAAGAGTAGCAGGCACTTTTAATTCGTGTTTCACTTGTTTTTGAAACAAGCAAAGTACTCAATGGAATACTGAAAGCCATAATATTCAGTACTCGATGGAACTGGACAAAATCTCCCATTATCAATATTCATTAGCAAAATAACAACCATGAAAAAACAACCAACTTGGAATAAAAAAGTTGCATGCATATACAAGAGATATGCTAGTGAAACCTACCTTAATTGGAGCAGTACTAAATTTAATTTTTCTGCTTGGTGGGATTTCATCTTCTTCTGATAATCCACTAATTTCAAAATATTCTGTGTCAGGCTCATAATAACTGTTATCCTCACTATCTTCTTGGTCATCCTCTTCAGTACAAATCTCCCCCCAATCAAAACTATATCTTGATTCTATCTTATGAACATTGCAATCGTCATGTTTAGATCCATGAGAGCTCTGGAAATCATCTTGTTCTTTTTGCACTTCCCTTACATTTCTATCTTCAACTAAAAATGAAGCTACGTGGAAATCAGTGTCATCAGTAACGGCAAGGTTTCCTGGCATTTCTGTATTTTCAGCTCCATCAAATATCTTTTTTGGTAAAGAGGATGCTTTAGATTCTGTTTCTGCCTTATTCTCACTCAAATCCTGTTTGTTAAATCCCTCTACTATATCTTGTTCAAGTACTTCAGAGGGACCAGAAGAGTAGTAGTCGCTTTTAAGTTGTGTTTCACTTGTTTCTGAAACAGGCAAAGTGCTTTTTGATTCTTCATTAATTGTAGTAGGGGTTTGTGGAGAATTCTCGAGAGATACTGAACTAGTATTTTGTTTTAATAAGGGCCAAGCACTGGTATCTTTTAATGGACTAAAGCCATCAAGATTGCCAACTGTGGAAGACAAATCTTCGTTGACTGCAGACAGATTTAGAGGGTAGTGGCCAGTTACAGTAAACTCTACACTGCTTTCTTTTTCTGAAACAATTACATCTTTTTGTGCATCAATGTTTTCAAACACTGCACTAAGTTGACTCACAGTTGGAGAAACAGTCTCTGCTTTTGAACTAGAACTGTCCACTAAATCTTCTTGGGCAGTTGCTTTGTTTGACTTAGAGATACATAATTCATCTGGACGTTCATTAGCAGAGACTGCTTTCTCCTTCTTTGAGGAATAGTGTTTGGAAGGCTGCGTTTCTTCATTTCTTTTAAACACTTTCCTGGTTTCAGTAAATTTGGAAAACTCATCGCGCATAGCATCAAATCTACTAATCCTTTCTGAAACAGAAGCTTCTAACTGTACAACTGATCCATCTGCTTTCTCCACAATCTCTATAGGCCTGTTCCTTCTTTCAGGAGATAATAGGCTACTTCTACCTCTGGTCTTTGTCATTCCATCAGCACTCTCACTAGGCTCTGTGGCCATTTGCATGAATATCTTTTTAATCCTGTTGACATTAGAGCCATATGTCCTCCCCCTAGTTTGCTGAGAAGTTGCTCCTGTTTCTTGTTCTTCATCAAAATTTGTTCTCAGGGCTTGGAAATGAGCCCTATAAGCATTCCTGTGAGGAGAGGCACTTCGGAGGGTTGATTTTTCTCCTGAACACTCTGACTTCATGTTTATGAATTTCAGAAAGTTATACCAACATATATAATGGCTACCTAAGTCTGGTTAGAATTGAGGATGCACTTAAAAGAAAAGAGATTCTTTCCAAGTCATACTCATAGGCAGCAGATAATCTTACAGATATGGATTGAAACAGACGAAAAAAGCTAGATGGGAAATCGGATGATGTTCCAAAGAAAAAGTTGATGTAACCTGCAATACAAAAATAGGATTTTGACTAATACTTGGGTTTCTAGCTTCCATTTATGTGATTTATACATTTATTTTGTAACAATCTTGGCAATAAAGTGAAACAGTTATACACACGCTGCACCTGATGTAATTCTGCCTTATGAACTAAGCCCATTTCAACTTGGCAAGTATTCATTAATATCCCACTGATATTAGCTTCTTGGACAAAGGTAAAATTCAAAAAAATACAGAGATTTTTAAAGCTTTAATGACAGTGATAAATATTATATATTCAGGGCTTATTATAAAACAAGGGCTCAGTCTCTTTTGATCTCCATTGATAAGAGCTCAAACATTCAAATTAAGAACAAAACAATTTAGGTGTATTTCTCTCACAAATGAATAATTACTATGTCCCATACTTGAAATAATGGAGTAGAGATTCTATGGGAGATTAAGTTTAAAACCCTCTTTTTCCCCCGTTATCTGATATCCTGTGAATAGGTCCATTACCACATCGTATAACACACCATGGAATAAGTCTCTGAGAAAAATCCAACACATTCGTGTGTGCTGGTATCACATATTCTGTCACATTGTTTCCCTATTTTATACAGCATCTTATTATTTTGTGTTATTTACACATCATATATAATATATATACATAGTTCAACTACAAATCTTTTATCACTACTACATATGGGCATAATACTTCAGACAGCATGCAAATGGGAGAAATTTGCATGTAGGCACACTTCCACTAAGGAACAACTATTCTTTCTGTGTGAATGCCTATCATAGCATGACCTACTCACCAGTTTCAGATATAAGCTTTTAATAAAATGCAGAGCAGGGTGGAAAATAGCCCAAGAAGCTGGGTAAAAAAATGATACATTTCAGGATCACAGATGTGTACCTCAGATTGAATAAATATAAGCATATCATGGAAAATCTCAGGGCGCAATTAGAACATACCATCATACCAGAGTACATTGAAAGGCTGAATATCCATCAAGACCACTTCCCAGAGAAATGCCCAAAAAAGGAAACCTAAACTACAAATTAAACCAGGGGTAGTCAACCTTGGCTCTTTTATGACTCGTGGACTTCAATTCCCAGACTGGCTCAGGAATTCTGGGAATTGAAGTCCACGACTCATAAAAGAGCCAAGGTTGACTACCCCTGAATTAAACCATTGAAACTAAATCCCAGATGGAACCTGAATGGGTGGTCAATATGTCTAGCTGCCCACTTTCTACTGCAAAACACCATCTCCTACAGAAAGGCTTCAAGTTTAACACAGATGATACTAACAGAATTCTTTCCAGCCCTAGAAGAAGCATTTAGAACCACAGAACTTCTTGCAGAGACTCATAAAGGGTCAAAGTATCATATCACAGATCAAAAGTATATGAGAAAAAAACCAACTGAAAGCAGAGGGCAAGCATCCTTCAAAAACCTAAAGAAGGACCAATCAATACAGGACACCGATTCAATACAGAAACTAGACAACCATATCAAGATAACTCTCGGTGACCTTATCAAATAGTGTTGAAAAAGTTGAAAAAGAGTGGACACATCTTCCCTTGCTTTTATGGATGCCCCAAAGAGTAATTGGCCAATTGTACCAATTACTGATAACCGCAATTTACAACATTGTTAAAGAATGTTTCAGAGCATGACTCTGAAAGCTTGGAAGAGTAAATCTCTGGTCTCAAGTGACTGACCCAGATTAAATCTTGCAAAGTGGGCTATGATTGTTTTTTACACTTATGACCAAAAGTCATGTGATCACCTTTTGCAACCTTCTGACAAGCAAAGTCAATGGGGAAGCCAGATTCACTTAACAACTATGTTATTGACTTAACAACTGCAGTGATTCATTTAACAAGTTTGAAAAGAAAGATCATAAAATGGGGCAAAACTCACTTAATTGTCTCACATACACGTAATCAATTTATGACCACAACCGAGCCCAAAATTTCTCTTGCTAAGCAAGATCATTGTTAAGTGAATTTTGCTCCATTTTATGACTATTCTTGCCACAGTTAAGTGAATCACTGCAGAATGAATCTAGCTTCCCCATTGACTTTGCTTATCAGAAATCGCAAAAGGTAATCACATGACCCTTACCCAGACACTGCGACTGTCATAAATACGAGTCAGTTGCCAAGCGCCTGAGTTTTGATCACATGACCATGGGGATGCTGCAACAATTGTAAATGTGAAAAACAGTCATAAGTCACTTTTTTCTTTGAATAGTCACTAAATGAACAGTTGTAAGTCCAGAAAAGATCTTAGTCATAATAAAAAAGGACCAACTAGAGAAAACACACAAGACTATCAACATCTTCAAGAAAAGAAAACCATGGTCTTCTTCCTAAATATTTTCATCAGCCTAGGCAGTGAATGCAAATTAGAAGTACAAGTTTATCAAAAAAAAAAAAAGAAAAAAGAAAAAAAACCCTACCCGTACCACATGCTCCACTACCAAATAACAATCCAACCTTTTACAAGGGAAGCTGTATAAAAACACTACTTGGCCAAGACAAATGTACTGCAGCAAACCTGAACATCGGAAAAAGGAAACACCATATATACAACATCTTCCAACAAAATGGATATCCATGCACCATTATCAAAACGTGCCTGGCCACTTAACCTAGCATAGGCTCAATCAACACAAGCTTTAAAAGGATAACATTGCCATGCATCAAAAACATTTCAGAAATCATCAACAGACTATTACAACCACACAGTATCACCACAGCACACAAACCAACTAAAGCTCTCCAGAACATCTTAAGTCAGGGGTCTTCAAACTTGGCCCTTTTATGACTTGTGGACTTCAACTCCCAGAATTCTTCAGCCAGTGTGCCTGGCTGAGGAATTCTGGGAGTTGAAGTCCACAAGTCATAAAAGGGCCAAGTTTGAAGACCTCTGTCTTAAGTAAACTAAAAGACCCAGCAGCCTCAGAAGAAAAAACATACCACATATAATGTAAGGATTCTAACAGACACTGTGAAAGACAAACAGAAGATTAGCAGAGCACGTCCATGAACACCAAATATCTGTCAGAAAAAATGAAAATCTTAATTTCAAAACTTGGCTTGATCTAGATTCAACTATGGTTTCAATTAGGAAACTGTGGACATTCAAGATCAAGTCAAATCCAAAAACACCAGAGAATTCCTGGCCATCAAGAGGACATAGGTATGAAACAAAAAAAATCAAAACCCCTTCTCAGTAGCAATCAATACACATATGATTAGAGATTAATACCAAGCTTAACATTAGACCAACAATCAACACTAGACCAACAATAAGCAAATATTTATTACTTATTAAAATAATAAACAATTATTTTATTTTAATAAGAAAATTATAAAATTTACTTATTTTAATTATAATTTTAATTATAATTTACTTATTGATGGTAAATAAGTAAAACTTTTCTTAAAAACCTTCAGTGATGAAGCACCCACAGCTGCCTTTAGAAGTTGTAAGTGCTTCATCACTGGAGGTTAAGAAAAGATTGGACAACTGCTTGCCTGAAATTGATATAGGGTCTCCTGCTTGAGCAGGGGGATGGACTAGACAACCTCGAAGGTCCCTTCCACCTCTCTTCTAATTAAATTAAGAAACTACCAGTTCAGACAAACAAGCTAATAGTAAATAACAGCCTAAACAATAAACCACTAAGAGCACTCCCACCCATATTGGCAGGGCAAGCCACTATTATATAAAAATAATGATGTTACCTAGCTTGATAATGAAATATCTGTAAGAAAACAGCCAAATTCAGAGAGCACCACATATAATGTATTCAGTTGCTAATAAATATTTCTGTACTAGAGTTTCACCAAGTGATGACATATAATCTGATATCTTCATTTTCCTCTTACAGAAATGGTGAAATGCAGCCATCAGTGGCAGGATCCTTTCAAATACCAACACTAAGGCAGTAATACCAGTTTTTAGAATGCCAACCAATGCATCAGCAAATGCACAAATTAAACATTGGTTTCAAGAAAGCTGGGGATGACAGTGAGAATCATATACAATGAAACCCAGAATCAGTAAAGAAAAACAATTTGGTATGAAAAGACTTGCCTGTTCCCCTCGTAGTCTAGTCAGCATGACAAAGAACAGTGAAAGGTGCATAGAAATGGCATGAAGAATTTTAAGAATGAGAGCCAGGTAGTCTCAATTTCCCAATTTGGGTCTCAATATTAAGGAGGTCAACTGTATTTCACAAACATTGAGAACCATCCCTGGTAACAGGGAGCCAGTTGGCAGCCTTTGCATGGTGGATGGGCAAGAGGAGGAAATGGTTGTTTGCTTCCAGCTTTAGTGAGCAGCCCTGAAGAAATGCAGAAGAGCAGCAGCACATGACCAATAATAAAGAGCAAAATCTCTCATTAGTGCTGTTTTCGCCTTCTCCGCGGTTACAACTTCGTCAACATCTGCGGATCCCCCCAAGAGAAAGCGCACATGTACCCTCTCTGGCCTGGCGCTCCCTCGGAAGCGGGGAAGCCTTTCAGAGCTGCCAGAGCTGAGAAAGAACTAGCGCCCATATTGCGTCCAGAACTGACGTCTCGGCCCTTCGCTCCGCCAGCAAGGTTTGGAAGTGGCTGCTCGTGCCCCTAATCCCCCTGCTGAGAACACGGCATCTTCCCTGCTCCCAACGCGGCCTTTCTTCTATTCCCGATCCCGTTATTAAAAGGAGGGACGGCAGGTAGAAGGAAGAAGGGAGACCCACTGGGTGAAGGGCTGTCAGTGAGAGAAGGCGGAGAGAACCGCTCGATCTCAAGGCAGCG